AAAAGAGCATTTTTTCTGTATAACTTTATCGTTACATACATTTTTGAATACACCAATTATTTATCCATTGATGTTATAAAAAAACTATTGTAAAACATCATGCAATTTGAAAAATTATATTTATTTATGCAAGATTTAAAATATTACTTGACATATTATTTTATAAAAATTTCTCTGTAAGCTGTAAAAAAACAAACAAGTACTTTGTTATGATGAGCACCTTATTGCCTTGCTTCCTTTATATATATATTAGGGGGCATCATCTTTTATATATATATTAGGGGGGCATCATCTTTCAATCATTTTTCAATAATTTTTTCACCTGGATTAGTTGAGCAGTTGGATAAAAATAATTTTACATTAAAAAAAATTTTTCAAGCCTATTTTTAAGGTTATTTTTAAATCCCCAACTTTTTAAACCAAAAAACGGGGACCTTAAACATGACATAAAATGCCAATTTTTTTCCTATGAACTCCAAAAGGCCTAAATATTAATTTGGAATTGGTTGGGAAGTTTACAATAAAAAAATATATACTAATTTAGGTCAAGAAAAATAGCTTAAAACGCAATAACTTAGTTTATAATTTTTAAGTATATTTAAATAAAATGTTGCCTTGTCATACCAGAGGCTGAGTGAAAAGAATCATGTTTACAAATTAATATAAGCAAAAGTAAAATTTGCAAAGATAAAAAAACTCTAATTATAGATTATTTAGCAAATCTGATGTGTTTGTCATGAAATATACTGGCATCATATCCTCCATCAATCCACGGTTTCTTTATAGCAAAAAGGATGCAGTTCTGAGGACATATTGCTAGTTCAGAGCATGCTGACATCTTTTTGTCTTGGGAAGTACAACCAATCAAAGTTTTGGTGGGAGTATTTTTGTCTAACAGATGCCCAAGTTATTAAGATTAAATTTAGATTTTATATGTTTTGTTTTTCAAACTGAAACTTAATTACTTGGGTAGATTAAATTTAGATTTTATATATTTCGTTTTTCAAACTAAAATTTAATTACTTGGGTAATATAATGAATGATAATTATTATTCAGTTTAATGTTTCAATCATACCTGTAATGAAAAACAAGAATAATTTCCTCATTTGTGGCAAACTGTGTTTTTAACACTTTTTTTCTTCAAATAAAAATGTTTTTGAAAGTGATCTCATAATTTTTAGTAGCATCTTTACTTTTTTTTAAATCTTCTATTTAATTTTAATTTTTAAAGTAAAAGTTATAAATTGCATTTATAATAAAAAAATATTCTTAGCTTAAGTAAAAGTATGGCACAAATCGTTTTTTTAATCTTTTCTAATTTTTTTAGAATAAATGGTTTGAAAAAGATTGTTTTTGTTTGTGACACACGTGAGTTAAATTCGATTGCAAGCGTCATTCTATTTAAATATACTTAAAAATTATACTATAACTTAAAAGTTAGTGCGCTTTAACCTATTTTTCTTGACCTAAATTAACCTTAAAAATAGGTTTCAAAAAAAAAAATTTCTTATTGTAAAATTATTTTTATCCAACCGGTCAACTAATCCAAGTGGTTGGGATTTAGTTTGAAAAAATTGTTGAAAAATGACAAACCCTTTACAAACAAAATTTTATATGAAAGTTTTTTTTTAACTTTATACAAAATAGCATTGCAACCTTATTTCTTCCCCAACCTCATCTATTTATCACTGATATTTCCATGGTGTCTGTGTTGCATCACTTTATATCAAGTTTGTATAAACCATTCAAAAACCAATTGTGAACACAACGTTAATAAAAATTTTGTTTTTTTTTTAATTTCAAACAAAAAAAAAAGGATAAAATAAGATCAAATAATGTCTTATTTTGTCCATTCAGAAAATGTTTAACTTTAGTAAGTCTTTAAGTTTTTAACAAAAAAAGCAACTATGCAAAAAAAGCAACTATTTCAGTTTATAAGGTACTTTGATCATTGATCATTGAACATATGGGATGTAACACAGATAAAATTTTTCCATTTTTCCATATAATTAATCTTTAACTAGCCTTTAATATTTCAATTTCCCCAAGTAAGTCTTAAATTCTCTATTATTTTATATTATTATATATATTTCAATATTAAATTTCTTAAAGTAAATATGTCTTAAATGAACAAACAGCCAAGAGGTTTGGCTTCAAAACTATGCAAATTTCAGAAATTTTTCTTGCATCATGTTTATATACAATATTGAATTGTTATGGTTTTTTGTGAGATCGTCAAGTGTTTCTGCAAGAAACTTTTGATTTGCAATGGCCAATGTAAGTGTCACATTTTATAGAGGTGTAATGCCTATCAGAATGTGGCAGAGTTCTAATTGGTAATGAAACAGTAATGCTTTCAAGTTTTTCAATTTTATAAACAAGATAATAAAATCAATTTAAAACTTTCGTTTTGTATTATGCCTGGCTCATAAATTGCAAATCAATATGATATCCTTTACATTTGAGACAATTGATAATTTAAAATTCATGCAGCATAGAACATACAACATCAGACCATCAGTTTCCAACAGTTTATCATAGCAATAAAAATATAATTTTTGAATATAAAGCATATTAGTGTTGAAAAAATAAAACAGGTATTACCTGGAATAGTATACATATTGGTTTATAGTCACTTTACAATTGAAATGATCAGAATCAGAATATTATTGAGTCTATTTTCTACTTTTTATGATACAAAAGGTACACCTTATGAATTAAAATAAAAGTTGAAATAATTCAAGAGAAAATTTTTGTCATTATAAAAAAACTTACTTTTTATATATATCTAAAATAAGTTCATCCGAAAAGTTAGTCATGTGGCTTGCACTTTTATTTTTATTGGTTTAGTTATAAATAACTTGGACAACTGTGTTTTTTTACATGGTAAACATTGAACAACAGTGGTTGTTTATATATATATATATATATATTTGTATATGTATATATATATATATATATATATATATATATATATATATATATATATATATATTTGTATATGTGTATATATATATATATATATATATATATATATATATATATATATATATATATATTTCTTGATGTTATTTCTGATTATATTGACCAAGCCCTCATTCTTTATCCATCAGCCAATATTGTTGTTGTCGGTGACTTTAATGTTCATCACACTGAATGGCTTGGCTCTATTGTCAGTGACTTTGCAGTTGTTAAGGCCCACAACTTTTGTCTTTCTCAATCCCTAACTCAAATAGTCAACTTTCCAACTCGCTTTTCAGACAACCCGAATCATTTACCTTCTCTACTCGACTTATGTCTTGTTTCTGATCCTAGTCAGTGCTCAGTTTCTTCACACTCACCCTTAGGTGTGTCTGATCATGGTTTGGTCTCTCTAAAACTATTATCTCATTCTTCTTCACCATTAGAATCCCCCTATCATCGTACATCTTACAACTACCTTAAAGCTGACTGGGACTCTTTTCGTGACTTTATTCGTGATGGCCCCTGGGTAGAAATCTTTCGTCTCCCTGTTGACAAATGTGCTTCTTACATAACTTTGTGGATTCAGGCTGGCATGGAATCCTTTATTCCCTCTCGACGATTCCAGGTCAAGCCTCACTCTTCTCCATGGTTTTCTTCACATTGTGCTGCTGCAATTGCCAATCGAAACCATTACCTCCATATCTATTAGCAAAACAATTCTCCAGAAAACAGACGTCTCTTTATTACTGCTAGGAACCATTGTAATAAGGTTTTGTCTAAGGCCAAAACTCGCTATTCCCAGGTCATTAAATCTCATATCTCATCACAAAAATTAGGCTCTCGTGACTTCTGGAGAATCTTTAATAGTATCAATAATAAGGGCAAGTCTGTAATTCCACCTCTTTTGTACGGTTCAGACTTTGTCACCTCACCTAAAGACAAAGCTGAATTGTTTGCCAAGAACTTTACATCAATGTCATCTCTTGATGCCACTAGTTGCGTTTTACCTGATACAGGTCAAACAGGTTGATCCATTGCTCGACATTCGTATCACTCCAGCTTCTGTATCTAAAGTGATTTCCCGCTTAGACTCTTCTTCAGCTTGCGGCCCGGACAACATACCTGTTATAGTCTTGCAGAAGTGTTCTCCTGAGCTTTCGTCATCTTTTCAAAACTATTCAACAAGTGCTTATCAGAGTCTTGTTTTCCAGCCTGCTGGAAACCAGCATCTGTTATCCCTATTTTTAAAAATTCTGGAGAGCGATCTGACTCATCTAACTACCGTCCCATTAGTCTTCTTCCTATAATAAGCAAGGTTTTTGAATCTTTAATTAACAAACACTTAATCTCTTATCTCGAATCTCATAACCTACTTTCTGATCATCAATATGGATTTCGATCTACTCGTTCTACGGCTGATTTGCTATCAGTAATAACCGATAGGTTTTATTGCGCATTAGATAAAGGTGGAGAGGTTAAGGCCATTGCTCTTGACATTTCTAAAGCGTTTGATAAAGTTTGGCATGCTGGTCTCCTCCATAAGCTTTTTTCTTATGGTGTATCTGGAAACATCTTTAAGATTATTAAATCCTTTCTTTCCAATCGTAGTATAAAAGTTGTTATAATATTGTTAATATTATTTATATATAGTTTAAGAGTGTATATTATAAACAACTTGACTGCATTGTAATATTGTTAATATTTTTTATATATAGTATAAGAGTGTATATTATAAACAACTTGACTGAGTTATTAGTATAAGAGTGTATATTATAGTATATAGAGTCTTATGTACATGTGCTACAAAAATATCAGAAGGTAAAATCCTGCTATCTTTTTTATACTTTTAAATTTTTAAGGAAATTACTTATACAGTAGTGGTGCAGCGGTAGCAACTGCAACAAGCAAAAGCAACACTGCAAAAGTGGTAGCGACTTTTTAAAGTCAAACATTGTGATTGTAACATGTTACAATCACAATGTTATTGAAAACAATAACACTGTGATTGTAACATTATATTGTGATTAATTTATAGATCAAAATGGCTATGACACTTCTTATGAACTTACAGACAAAGATATTGAATCATTAACATATAGTATATATGATGTAGTTTTGCCTTTACCTGGTTATGACATGAGATATCCATCTAACGGCATTCGTCAAGTTTATGAAGAAATGCTAGTGGCTGATGGTTTAGACATTAACAATATGCGAAATAAGATTAAGGAACTGTCGCTCTCAGGAAAATTACGGTATCAATTTTTTTATTTGTAGTGGTTCTGATTTTAAATTCTATATTGTTCCTGAAAGATAAATGTTACTCTCCAAAGCAAACATGTCAAGGTTTTTGTGTTTAAGTTATAAGATTATAGGGTTGATGGATTTTATTGAAAAATAATAAAAATTTAAAAAAGACTAACCTTCTTGAACTACGCATTAGATAGAGGTGGAGAGGTTAAGGCCATTGCTCTTGACATTTCTAAAGCGTTTGATAAAGTTTGGCATGCTGGTCTTCTCCACAAGCTTTCTTCTTATGGTGTAGCTGGTAACGTCTTTAAGATTATTGAGTCCTTTCTTTCCAATCATAGTATAAAAGTTATCCTCGATGGACAACACTCTTCTTCACATCCTGTAACTTCAGGGGTTCCTCAAGGTTCAATCCTTGGCCCTATACTCTTTTTAATTTACATTAACGATCTTCCAGATATTCTCACATCTAAGGTGGCATTATTCGCTGACGACACTACCATTTACTCTTGTCATGATAAGAAGCCTACACTCTCTGATTGCTTGGAGGGGGTATCTGAGCTTGAAAAGGATCTCACTTCTGCTACAGCATGGGGCTCACAGTGGCTGGTGAACTTTAATTAAGATAAAACTCAATTTTATTCGGCCAATCGTTATCGTAATAATTTAGATCTTCCTATATTTATGAATGGTAATGTACTAGATGAGTCATCTACCATTCATCTTCTAGGATTAACTCTTACTTCTGATCTTTCTTTTAAACCGTATATCAAATCCATTGCAAAATTAGCATCTGCTAAGGTTGCATCTCTTTATCGAGCTCGACACTTTCTTACTCCAGATTCTATTCTCTATCTCTATAAATCTCAAATCCGTCCCTGTATGGAATACTGTTGCCACATCTGGGGCGGATCTTCTAATGATGCTCTTTCTCTTTTAGACAAGGTGCAAAAACGAATTGTAAACATAGTTGGACCTGCTCTGGCAGCCAATCTCCAACCTTTGTCACATCGTCGTAATGTTGCTTCTCTTTCTCTTTTCTACAAATACTATAATGGGCACTGCTCTAAAGAGCTAGCGTCCCTTGTGCCATCTACTAAAATTCATTCTCGTGTTACTCGCCATTCAATTAAGTCTCATCCTTTTTCTGTGACTGTTCCTAAGTGCTTCACTCTTATTCTTCTAGTTTTTTTCCTCGAACATCAGTTCTTTGGAATTCGCTTCCTTCATCTTGCTTTCCTGATTCATATAATTTGCAATCTTTTAAGTCATCAGTTAATCGTTATCTTGCTCTACAGATTTAGTCTTTTCTCTTCCAGTAACTTCCAACTCTTATAGTGGTTGCTTGCAGCCTTGTTGGAAGTGAAGATGTTAAAAAAAAATATATATATATATATATATATATATCTGGTATAGCCAATTTAAAATATGTCCGTGTTATTGAGCATTATCCTGTTGAAATACTATTTCATCATCATTTACCTTTTCTATGGTTGGTAATAAGGATTCTTGTTATATTTTGATATATTCTTCAGAATTTATTTTAATTCTGTTGCTGACCCTATTCAATCTTCTCATGTCTTTAGCAGAAAAACATCTCCATATCAAATTTCATATATTTCCATATACTTTTTTCTGATAGAATTGAGATCTGCATTTTTATTAGTGTTTACCCATGATAATTAAACTTTTTTATAACATTTTGTAAGTAGAGGTATCTTTTTACATTTATGGGTTTTGAACCCTTGATATTTTGAGCGCCTCAAAATGATCTACCGAACTTTTTTTTCCTTCAGAATATCTAAAAGAGCTCTTTATTTCATTTGTGCTTATTCTATTGTTATTTAGAACTACTCGTTTTAATTTATGAGTATCCCCGTCAGTTAGTTTTTTGGGTTTGGTAGATTCCTTTTTTCTAGCAAGAGTTTTGTTTTTTTAATTGCTTGTAATATTATGAAAACCACTAAACACTATTATTTATACTCTTTTTCCTCATAAATTCCATGATTTAATGATTAATTGATTCCATGATTTTTCCTCATAAATTCCATAATTTAATTGATTTTCCTGATTAAACCAGTCCCATGAATTCTTTTAGCTTAATGTTCATTTGCAGCCAAAAAAGAGAAAATGTTTTATTAAAATTAATATATTAATTTTAATAAAATTAATATATTAATTTTAATATAAAAATTTTAATAATAAAATTTTAATTAAAAGTAATATATTAGTTTTAAATTATATTTGTAACCATTAGAATATTTTATTTAATTCAAATAGATAAAAGTACCACACAAAAAAAAAAGTTTGGTCAACTTATTTATTATATGAAAATAAGAGCCAATTAGTATAGAAAATAAGTTAATACATAATTAGTTATCAGTTGAATAGGAAAATAAAACATCTTTTGCAGAGTTTTATTTTATTTTCGTTCTATAAAAATATTATAAAATATCTTACTCCACGAAAACTTGAACGTAAACTAAATTCTTCTATGCATGTATTTACCATTTATAAACCTAATCATAAACTAAAATAATATTTGTAGATATATGCTACAAGAGCTCATAAAAATAAATTATTTAATAAAAAATAAGAATATGTTATATTTATAGAAAAAAGTTGTTAGTTCCTGTTTTTTTATACTGTTGTATTTATATATACATACATACATTGATGAATCCAGCATTTTTTGATGTTTGAGCTAACTTCGAGACATGGAGCACACTCCAAACATGTTTATACTAATGTTTATACAAATAAGAATACTTAGCCAAATATTGCAATGATTGGAGCCTGGGGACAAAAAAGCTCTAACATCTTAGCTACACTTTCTCAACGCGAGAGCAACAAGCTTTTTTTTACTATTCTCTACTAAATTTATATTTATTGATAAATTTTTAATTTAATAAAGTAATATTTTAACGTTTAAAAATTATGACCTTTTAAAATTTTTAACCTTTTCAAATTAAAGGTGGTTTCCAGACTCCAATCATTGCAATTTTTTGCAAAGTAACTATGATTGATACAAGTATGAACACAAAAAAGTTTAGAGTTTGCTCCATGTCTGGAAATTAACTGAAATTTGAAACATCAAAAAAAGCTGTATCCGCCGCTGATATATATACATACCTTGATAAACATAAATTATCTTTAATACTTTTTGAGCTAATTGAGTTTAAGTTATATAACTATGACATTCTCTTTTGTATAGTACATAGAGACATAAAAATTTGAACATAATTATATATATATATATATATATATATATATATATATATATATATATATATATATATATATATATATATATATATATATATATATATATATATATATATATATATATATATATATATATATATATATAGTTATATATATATATATAGTTATATTTATTTATATATAAATATACAACCCTTGGAATTAGAAAAATTGAGGTCGGCAATAGTTTGCCGACCTCAATCATTTAGAGGTCGGCATCAGGTCGGCAAATGCAAAGGTCTTACCAAAACGAGGTCAGCAAAACAGAATTTTTTTGCCGACCGCAAACACGTTTCGGTCTAATTCCGAGGTTTCGATCTAATTCCGAGGGTTGATATATATATATATATATATATATATATATATATATATATATATATATATATATATATATATATATATATATATATATATATATATATATATATATGTATAATTCAAATTTGTTTTATTTAGAAATATAATAGCGAAGCCAACTAATATGGAATGGCGTGTTATTCCTTATGACGATTACCAGATTCCACTTTTGTCTAACGATTACGAACTTTTAACAGGTAAAGAGCACCCCAAAAGTATTGAGGGAAAAAATAAGGCGGTCATGTTACGCTTTACATTGCCCGCATCTTCCTATGCAACATCTGCTTTACGCGAGGTTCTTTCGTCAGAGTCGTCGTTCGAAGTACAATGTAATTTAAATTCAGCTGGCTTTGAAAATCCATCAAGTTAATTTGTAAACCTTAAATGTATAACATCGAACAAAAATTGAAAAAGTTGAAAATAAGAGATAAAATATTTAAATAAAAAAAACTTAATTATTTATTCAAAACAAGGGAGAGTGGGGTACAGTAATACACGTTTGGTTTTTACTTCATAACTATTTCTTTTAATACGCTTTTTTTTCGGCCATTGTTTTAATTTGCTGATTAAATTTATAACTACAAAGTTAAATTTATTAATAATCAGAATGTAAATTTACATTTTTACAAGTTTGATCATTTATAAATGATCAAACTTGTAAAACTATTTAAAATAAAATTAGAAATTTGTATCAACCCGTACCCGTACGTTGACACAAATTTCTAATTTTATTTTAAATACGTTATATAAAAATCATTAAAAAGTAAATTAAAACTGTTTTTTGTATCAATTGGTACGTTGACACAAAAATCATTAAAAAGTAAATTGATACTGATGTTTTAATTTTCTTTTTAATGATTTTTGTATCAACGTCATACCATTCTACTTTTAATTTACTTTTTTTTTAACATCATTTAAAAAGTTAAAAGTATAAAACTTCAAGGAAAAGCAGGTTTTTGCTTGAAAGATAAACAAGTTTATAATTATAATCCAAATCATGCGTCTAATGATTAAAATACGCGGTACTACACTACGCGGTAGTGGTGTAGTGGTAGAGCGCTCGCTTCATAAGTGAAAGGTCCCGAGTTCGATCCCCACTACGTCTCTGGTAGTACCGCGTTCAACTTGTTTCTCTGCACAGCGGTCTTGTTTGCCAAGGTTCGTGTTTCGGAGTTATGGAGTTGAGAGGGTTATAACCACAATTAAGTAGCCTCCTCGTCTATAGTGGCCTTCTCGGCTTTGGGGAGGTAAATTAAAAAAAAATAAATCCAGATATCGTTTTAAATACTTCAGAAATCCAGATATCGTTTAAATGTCATTTTAAAGTGTCGCTATATAAATGGCTTTGTATCGAAATCTGATATACTATTATATTTACATAAATCTTTTAAAAATTGACTGTAAATATTAGAAAAAAACGATTATTAGAATTGTTTAAGACACAATGGAGTAAAATTCTACATTTTCAGAGCTTCCCCTTCCCTGCCCCCCTCCCCCCACCCCACACACACACAAATGCTGTATCGAGGTGCCGCATACTTGTCAATAGAAAACAATTGCTTTGTCAATCAACTTGTTTTTTTTCAATAGTTTTATTTAATGAAGTAAAGAGTCTATGGGTTGTAGTTTAAAAAATGTTACTTACCGACACATTGAATAACATACATTAAAACTTAGCAACTTTAAAAACTAATTAATCTCGTATCTCAGAAGTTAGGCTCTAGAGACTTATGGAAAATCTTCAACAGCGTTGTTAACAAAGGAAGGTCTAACATTCCATCTCTCACTCATGGCACTGATCTTATTACCACTCCCAAGGATAAGGCTGAACTATTTGCAAAAAATTTTCTAATTTGACTCTCGAATCTTCCTTCCAACCCAATTAAAAATGTTAGCATGTAGGTCTTCTCCATAAACTTGTTTCATATGGTGATTCATATGATCTGGGAAAGTTTTTAAGATTATCAAATCGTTTCTTTCTAACTGCATTTCTAAATTCATAATCGAAGGCCAACACTCTTCTTTTTTTCCCAGTAACTTCTGGGGTACCTCAAGGTTATATCCTTGGTCTTATTTTGTTTGTTATCTACATTAATGATCTTCCCGAAAAACTTAGGTCTAAAAAAGCTCTTTTGTTGATGACTTAACTCCCGTCTTGACAAAAAGTTGCTTAGAACAGGGAGCCAATCTTGAATCTGATTTCACTTATGTAACAGATTGGGGCTAACAGTGGCTAGTAAATTTTAACTCCAACAAAACTGAGTTATTCACTTCAAACAACTATAGCAGTACTGTCGACATTCATATATTGATATATGGCAACCCTCTCACTAAGTCCTCTTCTGTACGTCTTCTAGGGTTATCATTTACGACTAACCTTTCATGAAAAATCATATTTACAATTGATTGCTAAATTAGCATCTGCTAAGGTTGCTTCTCTTAATTGTGCTCGCCATTTTCTCTCTCCCAATTCCACTCTCTACCTCTACAAATCTCTTATTCGTTCCTGTGTGGAAAACTGTTGTCGTATTTTGTCGCTGGTTCTTCTAATGATGCTCTTTTTATTCTAGACAATATCCAAAGATGCATTGTAAACGTAGTTGGTCTCTCTGCTAAGCTTGAGTTTCTTTCCTATCGTTGTAAAGTTGCATCTCTTTTCTACAAATACTATCATGGTCGCTGCTCAAAGAAGCTTTCATCTCTAGTTCCATCAACTAAAACGCATTCTCTCTTAACTCGTCATTCATCAAAGCCTCATTCTTTTACTGTATCTGTCCTTGCATGCTCCAAAAACTTTTGTTCGTCTAGCTTTTTTCTCCACACTTCAACCCTTTGGAACTCTCTTCCATTTTCCATCTTCGTGTTCTCCTGACTCATACAACCTTCAACTTTTTAACTTTTTTGTCAACCGTTTCCTTGCTCAATAACTCATAGTGGTTGCTTGCAGCCTTGTTGGGAGTGAATCAGAATAAAAAAAAATCCACAGGAAATAATTAGAGCGTTTTAAAAACAAGTTAATATCTGCGTAATGTTAAGTAGTAAACTATTTTATTATGCAAATGTTAGGGAAATTTTAGACATTTGCTTGCTTTATTTCTAACTAAATTATGTTTACACATGCACACACAACAAAAGCAATAACGAAACTAAGATGGCTTTTTTTAACAAAAGTATATATTCATCAAAAAGTGTTTACAGTCTTCAGCGAATTTATTATTTTGTTACAACTTTAATAGACTCATCTTTCGTGTCAAATCGTAACAAAACTGTAGGTTTTTAAAGATTAGAACTATCTAAACAAATTAAATAGTAATATAGTTTGTAATTGATATTAGGAAATTTTAATAATAGACCAAGAGTCTGTTATTTTTTTATTTATTATTATTATTTTTTTTAATTTCGCTCACATTCAAATGTCACAGCACAATTATATGCCGTATATATGGTGTTACAATTAAAAAAATTCCAATACCAGTATAATTAAAATAAGAAAAACACTCACATATATAAATATAAGCATTTATACACTTGCAGATGTAAAGATGCGCACATATTGCTAACAGTTAAACATAAGCAAGGATCTGAAAGAAGATCAGAAGATCTTGTCGTCAGAAACTTATAAAATACAAGCAAGCAAAATAAAGACAAGTATAACATATAAAAAATAAAGTAAAATTAAAAAATAAAAAAGCAATAAAACCCAAGTCGAAATAACAATTTTCAAAATATTAGAAGTATCTAAGTATATTATCAAGTGAAAAAATACATTTTATTATATAGAGCTTGAAAAAATAAAAGGAAGTTGGTTGATCGAGATTTCGCAGAACAATATTATTCCATAGGTGGGGTCCACGATAAGCAATGCAAAATTGATTAAATTTTCTGTGACAAAACGGCTCATTTAAAAAATTTATGTTTCTCATATCGTATTCGTTGTTAGGTTTGAATTTGAAAATATTATTAAAAACGGTAGGGGATAACTTATTTCTCCATAAATATATGAAACAAAAATACATTCAGTTTAAATACATTCAGTTCTAATAAATTTAATAATCTCATTTCAGTAAAAATAGGTTTTGTATGTGTAAAACTATCAGGATAGTTAATTATGCTGATCGCATGTTTTAGACGACGATAAAGAAGTTTTAATTCACTTTTAAGCAGCGTTAGCATAATTTATGTAACTGTGGATAAAATAGTAATAAAGTTGGATTAAGCAATTTTTATTAAGGTAGTTACGAGCTTTATATAGAATCCCAATGTTTTTTGAAATTTTTTTGCATACGAATGGAATAGAGTCCATTTGGTTTTATTAATATTTAAAGTTAGCTTATTACATTTAAACCAGTTTGATATATGTTTTAGCTCTTTATTCATAATGGTAAAGAGTTTATATATATTAATGTTTTAGAGGAATAGGTTGGTATCATCTGCGTACATAATACTTATTAGGTTGGAAGCTTTAATCAAATAATTTATGCACATTATCGGACAAAACAAGTGCAACCAAAGAATGCTAATTTAGTTTCTTTATATAAAAGTGCTGCATTTTTTCAATTTAGAGAAATAACTATGTAACTGTTTAGAGACAACGTTCTTCAAGTTTTAAAGTATTAAAAAATGTTGATTTCCTTTTGGACAAAACAAGTGCAACTCCGCAAAATGTTGAGAAAGCTGTATTTCGCTCTCAATATTTCGTGGCAAATCCTTTGTTGTCGATCACAGCCTTGCATCTTTGAGGCATAGATTCGATCAGATGATCAATGAAACTTTGTGGAATCACTGCCCAGGCCTTTTGGATTTGTTCAAACAGTTGATTCTTATTAAGAACACCTTCACGATTAATTCTGCGGTTGTCGATCTCCCACAGGTTCTCGATAGCGTTGAGATCCGGAGATTGAGGCGGCTAATCTATTACCGATAGGTGGTTATCTTGAAACTACTGCTTGACTACTTTTTCAGTGTGTTTCGGATCGTTGTCTTGCTGAAAAATCCATTCTATTAGCATATTCCATTCAGCGTGAGGTAACATAACATCTTTGAGGATAATTGTATACATGAAACGGTTCATTGTTCTATTGATTCGATGTATTGGACCTAGACGGTTAGTAGAAAAACACCCCCAGACCATTATATTGGCTCCACCATGCTTTACGGTCTTATGGAAGTAACGTAAATTGAGGCGTTTTCCGGCCGGTCGACGTACACGGCAAATGCCATCGCTCCCAATGATGTTGAACTTTGATTCATGACTGAACAAGACAGTTCGCCATTTCTGCACAATCCAGTCAATATGAGATGTAGCAAACAGGAGTATTTTCTTCTGGTTCTTTAGTGAAATCAGCGGTTTCTTTGCTCGACGTCGAGAAAACAATCCGGCTTCAACAGCACGCCGTCTGATTGTTCGGTCCAATACAGGCAGCTCTAATTGCTTTTTTATCTCGACTAATGATATCTG